ATTGATAAGCTTTGAAAGGGATGTCGACGCTGTTTACCTCGATTTCTCCGAAGCTTCTGATGCCGCTCTTCGCAAGATCCCATTGAGTAAATTGGAAGTCCATGGGATCAGAGGAAGAGGGATCAGCTGGATGAGTGCCTCGCTTTCGGAGAAACGCATGTCGTTGGAAATGAGCTGGTCTCAGCGCAAGTTGGGGGAGACGATTGGAGTCTCCCAAGGATCAGTAATGTGTCTGCAGCTGTTGTCGTTGAACTCAGCGATGGTGATATTTATTAGTTGTAACGAACCACTTATGAACAAGTTTATATTATATAGTTTTATATGTACAGTATAACATGATTTTGCTTTAAACATCAACATATACACCGAGGCCTTGTACATGGAATATAAATATTTTCAGACGATGCGTTAATTAGCATTGAAGTAGCGTGCATGCATCGTGCATCGCCAGCAACAATAGGACATACATAGCTTTCAACATCTTTCTTTTGTTATCTCCAAAAATTACCGAAATTAAATAGACGCATCCAAAAAACGAGATTCGTTTTTCTCCCTGAGCGATTTGGACCAAGCCCGATGAAAAGGGGAAGAAATCCGCTCGAATGCGCCGTCGAACGGGAGGAACGGGAACTCCCTAGGGAAGTTCGAGTGAATGCGACGAAATCGAACGGGCTCCCGATTTTCATTCGGCGAGGGCGACGGGATCATCGGAGATGAGAAGGAAATTTTCTCTCGCGGAATCGCGGAATTTAATCGGCTTTCATCCCCGATATTGCACGGACCAAATGAGGAAACCGTGCAAAGTTTGGTCGGACAGGGATCAGAGGCGTGGCCGTGCATGAAGGACGGACAGACAGACAGAGACGCACAGACAACGACCAAAAAAGGATCAATATAATTGCATCCAACTAGGCAATAGATGGCAATGGTGGCATGTGGTAAAAAGGTGGGCTTCGGCAAGTTTGCAACGAATCCGGCGGACGTGCAGCATTTGATATCATGGTTGAGTCTTCATCCAAAAAAGGCAACAGCATTACTTCCTTGCAGTACTTCCTGTACCGAGCGTCTGTCAACCTTAAGGACAAACCCTTGGGTGGGGTAGAAAGGCAAATGTTGAGCAGAGAAAGGTCAAATATGATTTTGCGTTCCAGCCATCAGCGGCCGACGGGACTCGCTCTGAGAGCTGTGTTTCCCAAAGCGTAATCAGAAAGGAATCAGCATCAGTTGACGCATTTAAATCTGCCCAGCCTCATGATACGTTATTCCGTGTCGCCAGGCCATAATCCAAACGTATCAATGGGCACACACTGTAGTGCGTCATGGGACACAATTGCGCGTGTCCGTTGGGATATTCTCTCCACTTGACACATCTTATTGCATCTGTAGACGCGTTGAAATGTGTCAACGCGTCTGACACATTTTGTCACAACCGATATGAAGAATTCTCTCGTGATACATATACGTGCGTCAAATGACACACTACATCGTGTCGTTTCTCTCTGTGCAGGCTGGGAAAAATGCACGAGCAATTGCGTTCGCATTTTTCCATGATCCAACTCATCTTGATTATTCCTGAATATTCCGTCCTGATTTCGTTCGAGGATCTTGTCGCTGCTTTCGAGTGCAATTTCGAAATTTCCAGGTGTGAAATTTCCAAATTCCTGATGGGAACCGACGCATCCCAACCGATTCGCTTAATCCCGCCGCTTCTGAGCCGGATCGGCACTGACTTCACGCGGGATGGCCGAAAATCGAGGATTTCGAACTGAAGACTGGAATGAAGGGAACCTCAGAGAGTTTCCCACGAATTCTGGTAGATGTCTCTGCGGACCTTCGGGATAAATCGATGCAATGTCGATCTGCAATTGCAATTATTTTCTACTCTGAAAAAGGAAAGGACGGAAGAGAGAGGGAAGTTGCTTCGAGGCTTATTTGCTCTTCCGGAGAAATGAGGAAAAATGAAGAAAATGAGAGGAAAACTAGAGTTTGTGCTCGTATTTTTTTTCTGAGTCCTTCTCTCAGCACTGATGAGGCCTCTTACAATAAAATAAAAAATACTTTTTCAAAACCATCTCGAATGAAAAAAATTCGAGCACTCATGATAAGTTTCTTAAAAGACTTCCTTTCGATTGGAAGTGCGGCACATCTTCGAACTCGTTACGCGATAGATTCGCGGCTCAAAGGAGTATGGGGAGTTATTTTAGGGATGGGCCAGTCTCTTATTCGCATTGAATGCGACTGAATGAAAAGAAAATGCTTAGCGGAAATATCGTAGTATGCAAAAATTGCGTACTTTATCACACATTTATATACATTGCAATATTTAATGTTTGCGATGTTTAATTATTAATTTTATGAATATGACTATTTGAATTATCGGTGAGCCCTTCTCATCGAAGATGGAGATCTCTGGATGGAACCAAAGCGGGATCGTGGACCCGGAAGGAGACGCTGAATACTACCGGGCGTGCATGGAAGCGACGCGATTCTGGATCCAACGGGTGCTGGTGCCGATAGTAGTGGCGGTGGGGATGGCCGGCAATGGCATCACCGTGCTCATCCTGACGCGGAGGGAGATGCGGAGCTCCATCAACTGGTGCCTGACTGGGTTGGCCTCCTCGGACTTCCTCTACCTGGTCTTCGTCTTCTCCCTGTCGTTTCGGCATTATCCCTGGAATATGCCTCTCGCCTACTGGCACTATTATCCTGTGGGACTCTGGCTTTCCGATTCATCCAGTGAGTCCGGGCTTCATGCTTCTTTAGGGAGAGGGGATATCGCTTACGAATCAACGTGTCCCTGTTTTCCCCAAGGTGTATAACAAGTTATTGCGTACGGTCTTAGAAAAAATACTCGAAGTGGGTACGTCCCAGTCTTGAGGCCCTTCTGTCGATCTCTGCTTGATGATATCATGCTTGGCTGATCTTTCCTGATGCAACCAGTCGTGCAAAAAAAATGTATACCTACCATATTCAGGTATGACTCTCTCCGGTTACCGTCTGTACTGAACATTCCAGGAAAAGAGTAAAAACTTGGGACAATCTTATTCCCCACCCTCAGCTCCAAAATGCGATCATCCCGCTTCCATCGAGCTCCCGCGATATTTTTCTCTCATTCCTTATTCCACTCCAGATCCCCTTCGATGCCCGAACTGTTGGAAATTCCATTCGGTTAAAAAAAAGTTATTACTTAGTTCCGTGTCTGCCAGTCTGCTGCATCAAGTTAACCGCATGAGAGAAACTGCTAGGACCAAGCTGACGAGTCGGGGGAGGGGGAGGGGGAGAGAGAGGGGGAGGGAGAAGGCAGGGGAAATTGAGCGAAAAACCTGAAGGGAAAGGAGCTGAAAATTATACGGAAGGTCATCAGGTTCCAATTTCACTTTCTAAATTCTCTTTCCTCCCTTATCGTGTGTCGAATGCGTTCTCCATGACTTTTTGATCCAATTCCTTTCCGCCTTGTCCCTCGGAAGGGAAAGGGGATCCCGGTTTCCAAATCCTTGAAAATCCAGCATATTGAGGGATGATGAATTTCCGGAAGGACTCCGTGAGGGTTTAGAGTTGCAACTCTCTGCGGCTGGAACGCGATGGATTTGTGCGCTCGAATGTATAATAGAATCATTATATGGGATAATAACTCCATCCTTCGAGGTTTTGAACTAATTGAATATTTAATTGACTACATGAATTAATGACTATCACACGCATTGATCAAAGTTCTGGAAGCAGAAAATGAGAGGCATTCGTTATTCCCTCGCTATCGAAAGAAACCGGCACGATCAACCATGCAGCCGCTGCTTTTTAGCTCGTCGAGGGCTCGCAATCGGGAATCGCGGCGGCGATTCTTCATGGAGACGGCGGGACGGATTTAAGTCGTCGGAATACGAGCGACGACCGTCACGTCTCGCGAGAGCCGTTCGGCCGTCCAGCCATCCAGCCATCCGGCCATCCAGCCATCCAGCCATCCGGCCATCCAGCCATCCAGCCATCCGGTCCCGAGGATCGCTCCTTGCCCCGCTCCCAGGGAGCACCAGAAGCGCCAGGAAGGCTCAAGGAAGGCCCCCGCGAGAGGGAGACAGCAGGGGAAGAGCCAGGAATCCGCCGAGACAGCCGCGACGACAGGATGGAATCTCCTCTGCCCGGCGGAGGGCATTCATCTTCGTCTCCGGATTCTTTCCGCTCGATGCCGAGGCCTTGAAAATTAAAATTAGCTCAAAGCTGCGCGTCAGCGGTGTCCTCAAAGTTTTCACGGAATAAAAAAAAATCACCATAACCGATTTTATCCAGGTGTATCCTCCGCCAACGATCTTCCTCCATTTTTCTTCTTCAGTGCCCCCTTCAATGCCCCCCTTAGTGCCCCCTTCAATGCCCCTTTCTCGCCCCCACATTTGTCAGCTCCCCATTCATCCTTCTCAGCCGAGCGAAAGCTCCGACGGCCTTCCTCGGGACGTGCGGCTTCCCCTTCATCGTAAATCTGCATGAGTCAGCCATCACAGACGGTGACATCTTCAGGGATTTTCGGAGAAACGAGACGCCATGCGCTCATCCATCGAGCACGAGTGTGAGGATTCTTAGGGAATGAATAATATTTGATACCGGTCCCTCGTGCCTCCAGGATATGGCAACGGCCGCTCTGTCTTTGGATATATCTAAAATGCAAAAGCTAAAACCTGAAAACGGGAGGGATCCAGGCGCGAAGACGGATCTGGTTTCCAGACACGTCGACGCACTTTAGCCATGGGACACCTTCCCATGGCTACGACATCAGCTCCACCAGGGTCTTGCACTCTGCCAGCCCTGATGTTGGGAGGATCTCACCATGGTGGGTGGGAGTCATGTGTTGGTCCACCACATGCAGGGGCCCACAATACATTTAGCTCCTATTTTTATAATAATAATAAAAAAAAAAACTTGTTTCGTAGAGCTGTGGGGAGCTGTAGATAGCTCAGGACCGCATTCGCAAACCGAAGTTCCGTACCCTCTACGCCCTCGTGCCGAATCACCGTCTAGGCGGTAAACTTGCCCGGCTCGGGTATTGTCCCTGTCCCCTGTGTCCCCGTTCGCGTCTGGCATATTCGGTTCATGTGTACTAAGCTTTCTTGGCTGTTACATTCATTTGCTTTGCGACGGGCCGGATTGCCCTGATAGGTCTGATAGAGAAACTAAGTTGTGTTGCTGACCCCAGTGTCTCACATTAAAGTTTGACTGTATTCGCGCTCCTGAGTTTCGTTGGGGTTCACCCCGATTTTAGGGCCTCGTGTACGGCTACGGTTACCCCTGGTGTCGGCATCCGGTCTGTGGACTGGAGGGCGGATCTCGCCAGCACCCCAACGTACCGGATTCAATACTCCGGAAGGGTGATCTGACGAGACAGGCCGCCAAGACCGTCAAACAACATAAAAAATATTGGTTACGCGATGGCATATGAAGAGATGCGAAGCCTAGGTTTCAATTAGTGACCAATAGTCATATTTTTTATGAAGCATCAAGAGGTTGAAGGTAATGCAAGAGAGGAATGTGAGTCTTGGTACTGGTTTGTAGCGACTACGTTTTCAACGATAAGGTATGATACATTCGGTAACATGGCATTATTGGACATCTGATTTATGCATTCACCCTATATAGCTTGAAGGACTGAAATACATTTTCACAAGGAAAATATTTTAAATCACCTAATCTACCAGTGACAAAAAGTACATAGTAGACTGTCAGGAGGATGTACCAGAATGCATGGGAAATGGGTTGCTCTCAGGTCATTGGCACTCACCAGCTCAGTCTGGTTCTTTTAGCATTCATTGATCCCCATGTTCTGGCAAAACTATATTTTGGAGTTGCTTGACTTAATGTTTTTTTTTAATGTCCAATAAGTGCTGCATGAATGAGCTTGAAGATGCTTCCTTGCCAATGTCCCAAGGTTAGCACTTTATCACATACATGCTCTTCATATTTTCTCCTAAAGGTTCCAATTACACCCAAGTGCCATCAACTTCTCCCCTTAACCCTAACCTTAAATCAAATCAAACTATCCTGAAATTTAATTAGATGGCAGATACTCAAGTTGAATGTAAAGCCTTTTGAAAGGGTGAATCCAGCTATTTAGCTGCTTTTTAGTGAACAACTCATGAATGAAATGGATTGTCTTGCTAATTTTTTTTTTACAAATTTCTGTAACCAGAGCAAATATGGGAATGAAATTCAAAGTACTATATATCTCTCACTTGTCCAAGCAGGATTGGGAAAAGGAAAACAACTCATGAAATTTTTGATGGAAGTTAAAAGAAGAAATGATCCCTTGTGGCTTGTGTGGCTAAAATGTGAGTCTTATGAGAGTCATATGGTGCAGGACATGAATGGATAACCTTATGCATGCATCCAGGCATTCTTTGTATTGGGTGTCTTCCCCACGCTGGTTTAAAATATATATGCAAACTGAACCTCCACATCATGTTTCTTGACCACAAAAGGCATGTTCTTCCTCAGACATTTAGTGTTCAGCATTGACATTTTTTCCTGCCTATTTCTAATCATTCTTGGTTAATTAACGAGATTCACTTAGTGGGGTTTATTTCATTCATCCAGTTCCATTCCCCAATGAATTTTCTAACATCACTGTCCCTACAGTTTCCTTCCATCATTCTGCGAAGGGAAACCTCGGAAAGTTTAGGATATTAAATAGGCTATGCTGTAAATGTGAAAGGATCCAATAGTGTAAGTTCGTAAACAATTTTGCCGATTCCGAAATGATTAGCATTGCTTTTGATTGCAAAATTCATGCAAACCTACACCTAACGTTGGGCTTATTCGGGAAACTCATCTTCGCAACACGATAAGATCGGTATGCCTTGCTCTGGTGATGTACGGTGGGAAAACCCAAGTCCAACCAAGAGCTACTCAAAAGCATTAATCCACCGCTTTTCAGGAAGAGCTGGAATCTGTATTAACATGGAAGTCGCCATTTTCCTATAATGACATTTGGCGAGCGTTTGATTGGTTGTTACGGTCCCAGTGTTCGAACACGAGTAAAGTTTCAAAATAAGCGTCCCGGAATCGACTGAACATAGCTTTTCCGCTTTGTCCATGGGGTATGGCCACTCTGAACATAGTCTTCTCGATAAAGTAAATCAGGCTGAGGAAGCAGAGGCCTAGGTCAGGGCCGGATGCGAAATTCTTCACGTTCAGTCAATTCCTGGACACCATGAAACTCGCACACATGATTCGGCCTTACATTTCTCTTAATCGCTATCCAGTCGCATTCTCTAATGGAGATTGTTTTCGAAACATTAATTATTCCCATGAAAACACGCACCCAGTGTCACAAGAAAAGCAAAAACCTTTGGTTCCATGTTCCGGTAATTTATGGGCGTCAAATTTTTACGCTGGTTTTGCAAAATCTCAGTGGTTTTTCCATAGGCGGCGATTAGTTGAGAAATACTGGGGGCTCAGAGACAGTACTCTTACAAGTATTCCTTATTTCTCATGTCCTCGCTCTCCTCGTTGTTAGACCCTTCTGCCAAATTTTTCAGGGGCTTGAGCCCCCTGAGCCCCTATGAATAGCCGCCTATGCATTTTTCAAGATCGAGTGCAATTGGAGTATGGTAACTGGGTTGGGAGGAGGATGGAATCTAACGAAAGCATCACAGAAAGGGCAATACATCTAAAACTTTGAAAGCACTGACCGGTTGACCCTTTATGTTGGTGGCATTCGCCCGGTCCTTGAGGATGTAGACGAACATGACGGCCGCTGCACCCACGACTCTTCCGCTTTCGTCTCTCTCCACCCCAGACAACATCCCCTTCACGTCATTCCGTGACCTGTTTATGATATGAATTCCAGAATCCTGCTCGTGCCCCTCGATTGTGAAATTCTTTTCGTTGCTATGCACACATGCATTCGGAAAATAGGAAATATACATCTTGAGGATGCATTTTTTCCGATTTTCGTCATTGGATATCTTAATTCCATGGGAAAGATGCATCGAGATAGAATTCCGATGCATATCGGTCACGTGCAAGCCTTGCCAAGCCGTCCGGTCGACGAAAATCCCTCAACGAGGGGATGCGGGAGGGGGCGGTGCAGTGAGATCGTTACGTGCTAAAATGTCCTGTGACTTGCGGCACACAAGAGGATACCAGTGGCTTGGAAAGCGCTTGATAGTGAGATAGAGGCGCTATCAGTAGTAATGAAAAAAGGCCAGAAATCCCTGGTTCTGACTGGAAGTCTTCCTTCCATGACTTCTTCGGAAATATCTTCATTTCCATAATCATACTATAAACAGAAAGACTAATCTCTATTTAACTCTTTGAGCACCGAGTATTTTTTTTTAACCTTTCAGGAGAATGGATGTACGTTCATTTCCCTCAAAGGGCTAAGCATGAGGAAGTGCCCCACACCACCGACGACTTGCATTCCGACCCGTCCCATCCCCCCACGCCCCCTCTCACTAGACCACAGTCTCAAATAAACCTCAACCAAGAAGGAAAATAAGGACGATATGCTTCCCGAATAACTTTGCAGATCCATTCTTCCCCTGAAGTATGCAATATTGTTCCGAAATTTTCAATGATTGAAAAATCATATAGAGGATATTCTATGTGGCTCAAGAGGAGAAAAGTTGCCACCCCCCTCCACCAATTTTCAAAGTGATGGAGCACATATTAAAAAAATGTGAAAATATACAAATTTGTTCCTTTTAAGTGACACCCTAGCAAAGGGAGAATGATTTCATTCTTAAACTCACTTGTCGTCGAGGGCTCGAGTGACTTTGTCCTGGATCTCCGCCGTTGTGATAGTGCTGAAGTCGAAATCCTCCGCCCACAGTTGAAGGGTGCTGGAATAGATGCAACTACCATCGTACAGAGTTATTTCTTCCTCCTCGCCTCCGAAGACCTCCGATGCGTCCGAATCCTCCTTCCAGCCGTTATTGTAATCGTTGTGCTGCAAGAGTTCTTTGGAATCGACTTCTCGATTAACTCCGGCTTGACTGATCCTTGCTGTTTTCTCTGTTGTAGGTGTCGTCGTCGTTTCATTTTCTTTCGTTGTTTCAAGATTCTCTGCTGTGAAGGATGATATCAATATTGGTAGTAGTGACGTTTCCGGTTCCATGGTAGCAGTAGAATCACTGCTCATTTCTGTTGCTGTCTTTTGTGATTGGCTGCTTGTTGATTCTGTAGTCGGCACTACATCGTCAAGAGTGCTATTTTCCCCTAAAGTGATGAGTAAAATCATGATATTTTGAAAGTGATTTCGAAATTCACACAACAAAGATTGAGAACAAGCATGATAGAAATATTTGGAGTAACCATTCATTCTTATTTCCCTTTGTCGACGTGGCTTTTAAAGAAGCATTATAACTTGTAGGTGAAAATGCATACCATGGACTGGGTCGAGTCGTCGGTCCTCTGCATGCCAAAGACTTTGAGCTTCGGTATCTCTTCGCCTTCTTTCCACCTTTTTGTGTCCCACTAAGAATTCCTCTGGCCTGCGTGAGTCATGAAAACATTCACCTGTCGCAAGCACGTGCAACAAACAGGCAAGCACTCGACTTCACTATCATCGCATTGTCGACATTTCTCCCATTCACTTGCAAATTTCGTATGACTTTTTTTTATTGCATTTATTGTACAAAATTTGTTTGTGGTAGCGCACTGTACCTCGCACAGACGTCCTCCCAGGCATATCCATTGGATACCAAGGATCGAATTTTCTTGTCCAGGGTCCCCATCTGCAAGAAAATCCAGAGAATCAGGACTTCATTCCACATTTTGAAAATTAGGAACTGAATTTGAAAATTAGGAACTGAATTAAAGAGTTGAGGCATGGTCTCACATATTTGAAGTATTCCGGAGTGAGGATATTAGGCCCAGAAAGGATAATTGTTTCGTACCGAACTCCGTTCGGGAAGTTTTTCTTGATCCACTGATCAGTTCGATAGGGAGGAGTCCCCGGGCGAACCAGGCGTTCACGGTTCCTCCTTCCTCCTCTCGCCAGTGAACGATCCCCGAAATGAGGCACGACGAAAGGATGACAGAGGCGAGGATGAACGTCCACGGTCTGTGCGCCAATAGGCAACCGAGCCTGGATGGAGGATGAAGTGCATGAGATGAATGAGCCGACGAAGAAAGGGAAGACATGAGGGGAGGTTGGCAAGTTAACCTTGGCAGACCTTGGTCTAGCAGGGTCAATCTCTTCAAAAATGACCGATGACTTTTGTATCAAGTAAATGAAGATGACGGCAAGTGAGGCCTTTTTTTTCGCGCAGCCTTCTTTTTCGCGCAGCAGATACATTACTACGGTCAAAATAACTGCGAAGTGGAAAGTAGTAGCTTTCATACTTGAAAAAAAGATCTCCAACGATGGCGTGGACCCAAAGACTGAATCTTCTCAGGATTTGCAATTTCATTTCATGCGACTCCAGATGACAAACTGTGGAGTCCTCCTCGTGCCCCGCAGGAAATGGCGTAATGATTATGGAGGGAAGAACCTCCTCCCTCATACGCATACGTACGCCAGGACATCCCACCTTCCCTGAGCAGTCCCTCGGCAGTGGGTCGCCGAGAGCCAAAGTGAGTGGACGCACTCACGGCACGCGTGAAGCCGTGCCGAGCCTTCACGCAGCTGCCGCACAGGACCGTGCGGACTATTAGAGGAACTGTGGTGACGGTGGTCCTCCACCGGACAACTGGGACGCACGAGGACGATCCTGAGGCTCCCCCATCAGCGTGAGGCTGTTATTTGCTACTAACCCTATTTACCTATCCCTTTTGTTGTCTTGTATAATAAACTGTGCGTAGTCTTCGATTACGCACCTTTTATAAAAAAACCTCGAAATCATGAGTAATTTAAAGCAGTCGGACATCATCTCCTTACATTGGTGATCCCCGACGTGCGTTTGGATCTTCATTGATTCCCGAAATTTGATCGGTACCAGGAACATCCGTTCTATATTTACCTCTTCCAAATTCATAGCACTCCGGGCTGTCGCGCTAATTGCTATCCTCTTTCCCTCGAAATCACTTATTTACTGTAGCGCTGCGCATGATTTCACCCGATAGTTCAATGGCCGAAAAAGCCCCGATGAGAGTATTACTTCAGCGCCCGACGCGAATACTACTCCCACCCCCGACCCTCCACTAACTACTGAAACTAACCAAAGCAATCCGCCATTGCCTCAGATGATTTCCTTGTCAAATGCGTCGCTATTCATACCCATTTTTGAAGGCCGGGAAACTCCCGGATCAGTCTCATTGTAGAAAAATGCTAGTCACTGCAACTTGTGAAGGTTTTAGGAGTCTATCAGGATCGACAGATTCTGCACTTGGAGGCTTTGCGTGTCAAAGGACCCGCACGGGAATATGTTCGTGCACGCCCAAGATCGCTAACTTGCTCATTGGATGAATTTACTCAAATATTCAGGAAACGGTTCGGTGAGAAGGACCCAGCCTCGGCCTTGTCTGAACTACTTTCTGTCTCACAAAGGCCGACAGAGTCTACGATTACGGTCAAAGGGTCAAGCTTTTACTAGATGATTTCCTCCTCGGAAATAAGATTACCGCTGATAGTGAGGTAGGGAAAGTCCTCACTAACGAGATTGCGAAGATGACATTCGCTAAGGGACTCAGCCCTGTCGTCCGCAGAGCGGTACTGTCGAAGGAAACCGCAACCCTTGACGACACCGTGGAGGCGGCTCGAGACGAAGAGCTCAACGCCTCTATCGGCACTTCAACCGACCTTCCCATTGCCGCATTGGAAGGAACACATCTATACGATGGAGACTCCTGGTTGAAAGAAGAGTTGGGGAAAGTTCAGCAGAAACTAGTCATGTCTCTCGCAGCGTCATCATCGGACTCTGAGCCAACTTCCGATTCTCATACACATGCCATCCGACGAGGAGCGTCAGGTGGACCACAGACATCACGAAATTGGCCCACTCCTCAAGATCGCGCATGTTATGGATGTGGTGCTCATGACCATCAGGTGGCCTTTTGCCCTTATGCTTTGGAGCAAAGTTGCCTCTATTGCGGCAAAAGAGGTCATCTGCTACGGGACTGCCGAGCACGAGCACGTGGACAGTCATATCGTCCCGGACGAGCCCAAGGAAGATCCTTCTCTCCACGACGACCTAGCTCATTGCCCGGAAATCGCTATCAATCAAGGCTGACGAGAGAATTTCGTCGCAGCAACTCACCTGCCCCGCGGAGAAGAGATTACCATGATGGTTCTCGTAGAGCTTCTGTCCCCTCTTTCCCAAAAAACGGACAATGGGCTCCCCGTCGTTGAAGAGGGGGAGCACAGAATGGAGAGCCCATGTATCATATGTACAAAAATTCATGTCGCAGGAAACACACGAAATTGCCTGTGACACTGCTTTTAGTGATCTAGTGTCACATGTCACTGCTGATCCTCGTAATCCCATCATTGAGATGGAGTTCAATGATTTCTCTCTTCAGCTGTTGATTGACACCGGTTCTCAAGTGTCTCTCCTAAAAACCCAAACGTGGTTAGACATGCGACGCCGTTATCCTAACATTTTCAAAGACTTGCAACCCTGTGCAATTACACTCCGATCGGCGTCTGGACATTCAATTGCAATTAGTGGAACCCTCGACCTCATGCTGTGTTTACCTAATTACAAGGGAAAAGTGCAGAATTTCATTGTCTGCCGAACTCTCCCTTATTCCACTGCTGACGGAATTCTTGGCATGGACTTTCTCCATGAATTCAAGGCTACCTTGGATCTAGGGGAGCAGATCATAAGAATCGGCTCAACTGTAATCCCCTTTCAAGGAAAAAACCGGATCCCCGCCAAAGCGCTGCGTGGAAAAATGGCACCTCCCACTCGGAAAAAGAATAAAGTCCGCTTTGCAGAAACGCCGGACATTTGCGTCATACCTGGATAATTAGCTGGGCGGCCAGCTTCTGGATAAATACAGGTAGACAGCTTTTTATGTGGGCTTTGCCATCTGTCCTGCAGGTGGTAGAGGTCAGTTTATGCCTAAGCAGGACGGGTCCTTTATAGTTCCACCTGGATAAGTGGTACGAGGAATTCTCCTCCCCATGCTTCAACCCTACCTGGCATATTAACCCATAATCGGTTTGAAGTCTTGACGGATTTGCCAGAAGAAGAAAAGGAAAACGAAACCCAACTACAAGGTGTTCGACAGTCGGCAGAGCATCATTCGACGACTGCCGAAAATGAATCTACGAACAGCAGGTCTCCAAGGAAATCCAGGACACGTGTAACGGTAAAGCCTGAAAATGCACGAGACGTGCATACTCCAAAGACACCAAATGTGCAAGACCATGGAAAGGAAAAAGTCTCAAAACGTCCCAAACTCAAGAATAGCATACGTGCAAGACAGCACGAAAATCAGGAATTTACGAATAGAGAGGAAAGCACATCAATCTTTCCAGTATCAATTATAGGTCTGGAATTTGTTTCCCCTCCTTTCTCCACCACTTCCGTGATAGCGGAGATTCAAGGTCCAAGTAATCTACCCCTCGGTAGACTTCGCTTTATCCCGGATACCCCAAAGGATGGATTGAAAATACATCCTAAGAAGATCGATATCGGAACGTGGCCCTTCATGGAAATTCCCGTGGAAAATTCTATGGGAAAACCACAACACCTTCGAATCGGTCTAATCGTAGGGACCGTTACCTTGCTCGGGAATTCCAAATCGCAAGAGGAAATCTTCGCTCTTAACGAAGCTGACGAAGGAAAATTACAAGAGATTGAGACTGAGGAAGGAGATAAAATACTTCGTTGGAATCCACCTACGTGCCTTCGAGAAGAATTTGACCCCGTGGAACACCTGGACTCCCCCACCATAACTTTCCCTCTCGTTCCACTTCGACCGCGTCATCCTTCATCACCCGCTCCATCCCCAATTTCGTGGAAACTTTGATGTGAAGGTAGGCTTTTTCGGCTACTATACTTCTTAGACAATCTGGCGTTAGCTCTGCATAAACGTCGTCTTCTACTAGGTGATCCAAAGACATGTGCGGAGCTTAAGGTTTAGCTGTGCCCTCTCGCGCCACCCGTTCGCCAACGACCAATAGCACAGAGTGGGAGCGTTCTTTTTGAGTAGGCGCTTCCTCACCTACTTAATGAGTTCTCTCCGGAATAAGCGCTCAGGTTATCGTTGATACCGCGTGGTCATCATTACCATGGGTTTTTCCTGCGCCGACAACGTTTTTGCGTGTCTTACAAAAAATTGAATGAACAGGTGAAAGATCCCGCATGGCCGATGCCACACTTATTCGAGACCCTCACTCGACTTGGCCGATCGCGTTATTTTTCCACCTTGGATATGAAGAGCGGCTATCAACTACACTTCCATCCGAAAAAGCCGATGATATGAAGAATCTGTTAGACCGCAATCGAGACGTATTTGCAGCAGAAGATGATCCACTAGGTTTCTGTACACGCCTCGAATTCCAAATCGACACGGGAGATGCGCCACCCGTTCGCCAACGACCGTATCGTGTCTCACCCTCGCAAGAAAAACTCATCCGCGATGGAGTGGATGAATTACTCAAGAGAGGCCTTATTCGCGAGTCCAATAGCGATTATGGCGCACCAGTAGTGATGGTACCCAAAAAGGACGGCCGACAACGTTTTTGCGTGTCTTACAAAAAATTGAATGAACAGTTGAAAGATCCCGCATGGCCGATGCCACACTTATTCGAGACCCTCACTCGACTTGGCCGATCACGTTATTTTTCCACCTTGGATATGAAGAGCGGTTATCACCAAATCAAGGTCGCTGATGCAGATCAGCACAAAACAGCCTTCGTAACACCTTGGGCTTGCTACGAATTTCTCGTAATGCCCTTTGGGATCAAGACGGCCCCAAGTCACTTCATGCAAGTGATGGAACTCATTCTACGTGGACTCCCTCACGTCATGACATATTTAGATGACATCCTTGTCTACTCGACAACATTCGAGGAACATCTTCAACATCTAGAAGCCGTTTTTGAGCGCCTTCGAGATGCCAATCTCACTTTACACCCCGAGAAATGCATCTTCGCCCAGCAACGATGTCATTTTCTAGGCCATATTATCTCTTCAGAAGGAGTAGCCCCAAACCCTGAAAAGATCCGCGCTATTGTGGATTTCCCACGACCTAAAAATGTCAAGAATGTCCGACAATTCCTGGGTGTGACCTCATTCTTTCGCAGACACATTGAAGGTTATCCAAAAAAGGCCCATGTCCTTCATCAGCTCCTAAGGAAGGACCAGCCCTTCATATGGACAGGGAAAACCGAAGAAGCCTTCGAAGCTTTGAAACAAGCATTACTTCATGCCCCGGTTCTGAAAAGCCCAGACTTTTCACGCGAATTCATCATCACTACAGATGCCAGTTCCTACGCTTTAGGAGCGGTCTTGACACAACAGTTTCCCAGTCATCATGGGACTATGGAAGAATTCCCAATTGCGTTCGCAAGTAGAGCGCTGAAACCTAATGAGATGAACTATACCGTCTCTGAGAAAGAACTTCTAGCAGTAATTTTCGCCATCCAACAATTCGATTGCTACGTTCAGGGCAGACATTTTGTCATTCGACGCGATCATCGACCACTTCAGTTCATCCTAAGCAAGAAAACCTCGAAGAATGCCAGATTAGAGAGATGGTCCATTCTCCTACAAGCCTACAACTTCACTACAGAATTCCGTGAAGGTAGATCTATTGCTCACGCAGACGGCTTGAGTAGGAACCCTCCCGTCCCCCACGACACTACAAACGTGACGACTGAAGTTGTCTGAAGTGAAGTTGTCTGTGGCGTCATGACGATCTGCATGATGCAGCAACATTGACTCCAAATTTAACGGATATCCCTGAATATGTCCCATACCTGGACATTATCACCCTCCGAGAAGAACAACGGAGAGACGAGTTCTGCCTACCCTATATCACCTATTTGAACTCGGAAAATATGCCAGACGATGCAATTCCACACCAAGTGGAGAAATTTTATTTGAGCCCCAATGCCATTCTACTCAAAGAAATACAAGTACACGCAGGTCCCTCAATGAAAACCTGTTATGCAATTGCAATTCCGAATCGTTTGAGGAAAGAAATTATGTTAGCATACCACCACACACCGTGGGGTGGTCATCATGGTTCCGAGAAAACCTTCAAAACAATGGTTTCTCGAGTGTATTGGCCCGGAATGCAACGGGATATACAGTCCTTTTGTCAATCTTGTCCATGTCAAAAGATGAAGATTCTTAGCTCAAAGCGACCAAACCCCATGACCATTCCCCGTTTACCATCTAAACCCTTTGAGATTGTCGCTATCGACATTGTCGGACCACTTCCCCCGACGAAAGAAGGGAAACGCTACCTGCTCACAGTACTCGACCATCTCACTAGATTCTGTGAAGCCATCCCTTTACGAACTCAAACGGCTGAAGAGGTCGGCCGTGCTTTCGTCAATCAAATAATTTGCAGATTCGGAACACCCAAATGTCTTATTTCTGATCGAGGAAGCAATTTCACCTCTTTGCTTTTTCGTCAGATTTGTTCCGATTTGAAAATCAAACGTGTATTGACAACCGCATACCATCCCCAATCCAACGGCGCCCTAGAAAGGACGCATCTCACTATTAAGAACGCCTTGACGGCCTTTGTTCATCAAGATCAACGTCGCTGGGATGAGTATATCCCGAAAATTATGTACGCATACAACTCTTCCCCACATTCAGCAACTGGTTTCTCCCCTGGATTTTTGCTGTTCGGAAGAGAATACTTTGTCCATCAAGATCAACGTCGCTGGGATGAGTATATCCCGAAAATTATGTACGCATACAACTCTTCCCCACATTCAGCAACTGGTTTCTCCCCTGGATTTTTGCTGTTCGGAAGAGAATTGGAACTACCCTTGGATTACATCGCGTCTCTGGATGACATTGAGAAAGGAAAATCTCCAGATACGTGGCCCGAAGAACTTCAGAAAATGAAAAATATTTTTCAATGGGTGCATCAACGCTTAACTCCTCAAGCAGAGAAGAGAAAAGAATATTATGACTCTTCTCGTGGAGCTAAGCCTCACAATTTCCGACCAGGAGACTTGATATTGGTAAGGCGACAAGCGCCTTTCCCACATGGCGAAACGCCGAAGTTAGGTTTTCGCTTTTTAGGCCCCTTTCGAGTGAGCAAGACTCACGCTCCCTCAACCTTGGAGATTGAGGACCCCCATCACCCAGGGTCAACACGAACTATCCATGTTGACAAGGCCATCCCCTACAAAACGCCTACTATGTTCCCTGACCTTCATTCTGAAGATTCCCATATAGAACCGCCTATGATGCGAGAAGAAATTCCAGGAGAAAGACTCTATGACGAGACCGGCGTCATGGACCTCTCACAATATTCCCCTATGGCTTTCCCAAATGAGCTCCCTGATATACCCTTCGACCCGCAACCCTTTCTGCCCCAACTGGAAAACCCTTTATTAGGAGAATCATTTTTCTCACCAATTTCCCCGGACACATCTCACCTGTCCCCGGAAAGACGAGATTTATCCAGTTTAGGAGCTTCAACCCCTATGACAGCTTCTTCATCCTCTGCGCCCTATATTCCGCGCACATCGCGATGGAAGAAAGCTCTTTATCCACCTGCTTTACGACAGTGGCGGAAACAATTGTTCGCCAATCCTGCCTCGACGTCACGAACGTCGACTCCAATCACGTCCCCAACGATTCCCGTATCTGACGAATTCAGTCATGGTTACCAGACACGAGTAAAAGGTCCGGTACCAGATTACCCCCTTCCAGAACGTTGGAGACAACCGAAACGGAAGAAAGCGACACCAGCCGCCACGGCTGAAGGAACTACTATTGGTTTTCCACCGTCGGAAAACCCTTTCACTTCGTCAATTCCTACTGAAGGATCTAGGAAAGACCAGGGTGATAAATCTCAATACCCTATTTCCGTTATTGAGAGATACCCCTGGGAAGAAGAGAGTAGTGAAGACGAAGAATTTGAGTATTGGTCGGACGAGAGTCGTTACGACATCCCTTTTTGGTAATCATGCCTCGTATTGGGACGAGCATGAGAAAAAGAGAATGATGAATAGGCCTTCACCCCCGAAGGAAAATAGTTGCCTCAAGGTTGATAGGCGTTAGCCTTCCGCCCAGGATGGGCATAAGAGAAATAAAAGAGAGAAAGTTCCTGGGAACCCTAGTCTGTCCCGCCCCGTGAAATTGCACCATTGTGTGCAAAGGCGTATATGCTAATGTGGAAAAAGACATGGACAAATGAATGAAAATGAAGAATAATTTCCTTTTAGAGAGAGAGAGAACAGAGAAATTTCTGACCTTCGAGGAAGATGAATCATGAGTTCCAGAAAAAGGGACCATGGAACCTTAATAAGGAAATAGGAGAGTCAAGGCCGGTGAAAGGTGAAAGTGTTATCTCCGGCACTAAAGTAGAAAAAAAGGAGAGAGAGAAAATGGAAAACAAAACTAGAAAACCCCTACGTCATGCGTAGGCGTCATATGAATAATCCATTACAAGTGAAATGAACAGAAGAAAGAGAGAGGCCGGATGACAAATGAACTTAGATGCCATGATGCCCTTCGTGCGAGAATTAATTTTGTATCTTAGGAAAAGAATGAATCGAAACATGTTCAGGGTCGCGCATTCATTACCCCCTGGACGTTTTTCGGCAATGCCAACGTGACCTCGTGGATGGAACACTTGGGAATACAGACGGATGAACCCGCCTTTCACTTCCCAGTTCCCTGTATCCGGACAGGTGAAAATTTCCTCCTTCACTTGTCTTCAGCTGCACCGGTATCATCTGCCTAACAGTCGGTGCAGGCGTACTTCTTCACTTCGCGTCAACCACATATTTTATAATGACCTGGAAATACAACCGACAATCTGGAATAGTGTGGAGTGATGTAGTGTCGGCATCAACTCACCCTGGGAATTAGAGACCGTGCCTGGCCCCGAAGGGTTGACCTGGCCATACAGGTGCCCACACAATCTGTGGGGTGGCTGACAGACCACCCTGAGGACAGACAGTTTGGTGAGACGTTGCCAATCTACATTTCTCTTCACTTCCTTTCCTTCATCCTATTTCCAGTGTGTACCGTGCATATTGTGTGCTTCGCTATGAAAACTGCTTCTTGTACAATATTTGTATTGTTGATGCTTGTATGCATTTTTGCCTTATCAATTATTCCAAGATTGTATCAGCATATATATTGTTTCTCAGGTATATTTTATGTTCCTGGGACATTTTCTAACCCCTCATTGTATACAAGTTTGCTCTCACGCTGACGGATTGATACCTGGACGACTATCATCACAAGCCTACTACCAGCTCTCCGAGGATCGGTGACCGCGATGCGCAAGGGCACCGCGGAATTTGCGCGTGGGGAATGTGGAGTCCTCCTCGAGCCCCGCAGGGAATGGCGTAATGATTACGGAGGGAAGAACCTCCTCCCTCTTATGCATACGTACGCCAGGACATCCCACTTTCCCTGAGCAGTCCCTCGGCAGTGGGTCGCCGAGAGCCAAAGTGAGTAGACGCACTCCCGGCACGCGTGAAGCCGTGCCGAGCCTTCACGCTGCTGCCGCACAGGACCGTGCGGACTATCAGAGGAACTGTGGTGACGGTGATCCTCCACCGGACAACTGGGGTACACGAGGACGACCCTGAGACTCCCTCATCAGCGTGAGACTGTTATTTGACACTAACCCCATTCACTTATCCCTGTTATCTTCTGGTATAATAAACTGTGCGTAGTCTTCGATTACGCACCTTTTATATAAACCCGGAGTCCTGAGTAATTTAAAGGAGTCTTCACCTTGGAGTCAACGGTAACTATTGGACGGACTTCCTGCTACCGATCACAGAGGTCTCTCTTACGAACCTCTCCGAACACCGCAACCTTCGCGATAACATCCCCAGGTACTTTTCCAGATAAATCAAAGCAGTGGGCGATCATCAACCTACAAAGTGCCTCAAAGTTCTTTGTATGCAACAACGAGAAACGTTCATATGTGCTGCAATCTGAAGTTTCGAGTATCCTCCCTCTGAATAAAGATTCTTTCTCTTTCTGTAACAGTTAGATTTAATATTTTACCCATTTTCCAGACTTAAAAAAAAAATTGAAAATTGAATCTGTCTCCGAATACACTTTGCGAGATCATTGGCAGTATAACTGTTCCAGATAGTAAAAAATGTAGTAATTATAACAAAATTAATTAAATATAATATTTACCAGATGAAACCTTTTCAAAATGTAAAAACTTTTAACGTTAATTCACTTTAAAGTGAAGCTAGAAATAGAACGCGAAACGTGTCCCTGCGTGAAATCGTGAATAATTTGAAAATAAATAGAATAATAACAAAGAAAATAAAATTTTCGGCAAATAAATGCTACAATAAATCATTTACATTCCGTTTGAAAAAAGAGCGATAATTTTTTTTTGTATTTTTCTTCAAAAAGGATCATTTTTGCAACCTGCCTCAAACTTTCTGGCGGTACTGTATATGACGAGCAGACGACTCGAAAGATTAACTATTATGGCGCTGCTCATACTTCCCCTTAGAGAGGTTCACAAGTTTGCAAGGGAAGGTAACATCATGATACTGTAGGCCTAACTCACTCAATTCTGAGTTAGGTTTATATAATAGACCGATGATGTATTCACATTGGAAATGGTGAAGTGAATGGAAAAGGTGAAAATTCGGGGTATGGTTTGTTATGTCACTACCCTTGTAATACTTGTTGAGACCACCCTTCTCTTAATGTATTTCATCAACATATAGGATCCAGGCCTTGACTCGATGCCGTACGCGGTCCTCTCTCGTTGCTACGGGTGTCGCCACAATATTATTATCTCTTTTCCTAAGTCTAACAGTTCTTAGAATGCAAGCTATTGCATTCTTCAGTCTGGCCATCCTGAAGCTCCTCATTTCAAACTCACCTTTCATTAATAATTTCATTTACTGCCCTCAATTCGCTCAAATCGTATGAGCCTATGAAAAACTCACTATTTACTGGTATTCTGGTATTTACTGGTAAGAGTATTTCTTTGAACTTCATTCTACTTTCCAGGTCTTTCTCATCATGAAAGTGAAGAGGCAGAAAGGTGTGCAAAGGCATCTCAAGTTTTACTCTAATAATTTTGGATTCCATGCACCTTATCAAGTGTTGGTAGATGGAACATTTTGTCACCAGGCCCTCAAGCAAAAAGTTAACATTGTGGAACAATTACAGAACTATCTTGGACATGGTTTGAAGATTCTCACGACTCCATGCATAGTGTCAGAGACAGAGCGCTTTGGGTCTCTGCTATTTGGAACAGCTCTCATAGCAAAGCAGTTCCCTGTGCATAATTGTGGTCACAAAAAATGTGTTGATGGTGCTACATGCCTAAAGGAAATGCTTCAAGATGGGAATCCAAGCCACTACATTTTAGCTACTCAGGATCCTGTTCTTCAGGTCTGATACCTCAATTTACCTCGGAATGAATTGAATTTTCTTTTTTAGATAGAAAGAAAAGGTTGTTGGAGGATAGTATAGGTTGTACTTGGTGACAATAGAGGAGTTCTCTGGAGAAAGGGTGTAAATGCTCATACATCCTTTTTTGCATGTATTCACTGGGTGCATTAAGATGGAGACATCTGGCAGCAGGAAGCATAAAAATGAGCTGGGGGGAGTCAAGCACGCAAGCTTCAATGCGTTTCTTATGGAAACTGTTTTTACTACGAAAATGCTTCTTTTTTTTCTTTTTTTTTTGCCAGAGGGATTTTTTAAGGCCAAGAATGATTATATAGTAAGTAATCGATGGACTGAAGTTTCTATTTGGAGCATCCAGACAGCCTGAAAGGCCTGTCATGAAGTTTCTTTCAGTCTTAGCCTTCGCTTTCCATGGGCCTATGAAAATCAAATTTGGCATTTGCTGTCACAGGATAAATAGCCAACATTAACCCTTGACCTGATACATTTTATCATTAGGTCAGGGCCAGATTAAAGGGGGGGGGGGGCAAAGGGGGCTGTTGCCCTGGGCTCCACTCTTCCAGGGGGCCATCGGAGGAAATGAAAAAGGTTAAGTATTTGCGTAAAGTGGGAAGTGGGGGGGGGGGAGGGGGTTAGCTCCAAGAATCCACTTGCCTAGGGCCTCGCAACCTCTTAATCTGGCCCTGCTGAGGTACTAATCCAAAAAGGGTTTCTGTCATGGGTTATGATTTATGCCCATGAAGCACAATGATATGAAAAAAAACTAGCAGTACTTAATGGAATACAGGGGCAATGGGAGTCAAAACTTCAAGTTTAAAGCAGTTTCATGTTGTAGTGAATTCTATCAGGAACTGGAAGATATTAATAATACCCCACTCATATCATGCACATGTACCCCACTGAGGCTCATGATTCCATGGAAATCCTTGCATTGGTGAGTGGCTTTGAGGAAAACCTGTACCTCCTCTGAAGGTGAAATTTGATCAAGGTTTGAACCACGTTTTTTGCACACACCTGAACTCTGTCACATTTATAACGTGTTTTACTTCGGCTAGAAGCTCCCTTTATCAATGTCATGGCTCTCAAGTTTTGAGAATAAATTGGGAGGAACCCCACATGAAGAAGGATTGTACAATTCTGTGAAGACATGGCTTTGTTCCATTCTCCTCCTCATGTGCGACTCCCCCCAGTCATGGGCGGCTGCCATTTTTAAAGCACACCATTTGGTGTTAGTACACCCAGCGAACATTCATGCACTGCATTAGGACACATGCAACAGGATAGAGTGATGTTGAGATGGTTCAGATGTGTTTGTAGCAAAGGAGAAGCAATTTTCTCCATGCTTCCACTAGATGATGGGCCGGTGTTGAGATGTATTGGCTGCTGGTAGGGGAAGGGAGGAAAGGGAAAAAAAAGGACTAGTCACCCAAACCTATGGAAGGATGCCTGATAAAAAAGAAATGGAAATAGTTGTGGTACATACATGGCAAAGCCCATGACTGTCATGAAAGCATTTCCTAATGCTCCTATTTTCTACATTTTTCTTTGAGAAAGGGTTCTGTAAAACCCAGAGATTAATTCAGTGGAAAATGATTAATTGTTTAAATGGAAAATAACAGCTGATAGAGTGGATATTGAAACTGGGTGTATGTACAAAAATAGTTTTTGCCTGCATTCTGGGAGGTTGAAATAAAAAATTTTCTGTAAGCCCAAAGAGAAAGTAAGGACCTTGACCTTGAATACCATATCACTGAAACTGAGTTCATATTGGTTGCCTGGCAGAAAATACCATAACAACTAGAACTTTCCCAAAGGAACACTTGGCCAGGTGTTTTTGGTTGTTGTCTGAATATAGGGAACAATAAACTCTTGCCATGAACAGTGAACAAGGGCTGGATTCTGTTTCCTTGATAATGGATCCAGTTGGGACAATGTTGTTCTCAATTTGAATTCTTACGATGGTGTCAGTTGAATTTTTTGGAAATTTTAAATTTTTTTCTTATTTTTTTCATAATATACACTATCCAAGTGTGATTACTACCTCTGTTCAGACACAGTAATGTAAATTGTAACTGAACTCAATCGTCATGAGATCACTCTTAGTGGCAGTTCTTCCTAGCAGTGAAAGTACTGTTTCTTGGCTACCATGTGCATGCTTAGTTTTGTTACAATGCATGCTGTAGTTTCTGAACATTGGTTTGGTCAGAACTTAGATAGTTTTACCTTATATGTCAAAGTTCAATAGACTCTTATTGTCTTGGATCTCTATGACTATTAAAGAATAGACCCTTGAGTTATTCTCATGGTGCACTTCCAGAACATCTTGAGAAGCACACTAGCCCAGGAAAGTCACAGGAAACAGGAATATTATGGAACATGTGCTGTCAAAGATGTTTGTATGACAATGAGAGCTCTCTTATTGGAACTTCACTTGCTCAGTTCCGGGATTGATGGGTACTTCTCAGTTCTTATTTACCACATGAATTCCATTCCCCCATCCCCATTGAACTGACAACATATATGGCAATATAGTGAGTTATAATTTTGACTTATTGGGATTGATTGTATGCATTGCCAAAATAAGACATACCTCAGGGGGGGGATTGAACAATTTATGTGACCCCCAGTTACCAGGTGATGGTTGACTTAATTGTTATTTTATCTGAATTACTTTCCATATTTTAAAAACTTAGAAAATTCCACAATTTCAGAAAGAAATTCAAATGATTTGTTACTACTCCAAATTCTGATTGCTGGGGCAGAATATAAACCAGAATGATGTTCATTTCAGGAACATGCAAGGAATCATGCCAGAATACCTCTCCTTTTCCTTCATCGTAATGCACCGACACTGGAAGCTCCCAGTATGGCTGATGTTCAGCTTTCTCAGGAATTGTCATCAGCTAAGTTACATCCATCAATGTCACAACTTTCCACCCTCAGGACGCTCAAGAGAGAGAAGCTGGGTGAGAATGCAAGCTTTGTGGCTCTTAACCTTCCAATGTTGGAAATATTTGTCCTTACAGTTTTGTTGGAAATGGGGTCATGAGGATCCCATGTTATTAGCATTGTTTTACTCTGTGAATGCATGATTGATATTGTAGGAGTGGAAAACATGATAAAACCCAATATTATTATTATTATTAATCATATAATAATAAATTTATTATTACAAGGCAATTTAGAAAAGAAACATTTCATTTGACATTTAAGAATCTGATGAATACCTGGATTTGCCTCTCCAAACCTTTCTATTTGCCATCCTTGACTGAACATGATGGGTCTGTTTGACCCCTAGAATTACATATTCATTAAGGAATTGGACTGCCTGATATCCTTATGTGTTTCTAATTTTATCTATAGTACATAAACAAAGATATATTCCCTTCATTTCCAGGGCTTGTACAGGAGAGGAGGAAGAAACCCAGAAAGAGGGGTGGCCCAAATCCACTTTCTTGCAAGTTGAGCAAGAAGTCTAACATTGATCTCAATGAGAAGAGACAAGTGTCAGTCAGGAAGAAGCAAAGGAAACGCATCAAGATACCAAAACATGTTAAAGAGCACTGGAAATCTACCAATCTTCAATAAATGCATGGGTTTGGTTTTGTGGCAAATATTGCTATATTGACATCATATGATGATATGAGCTGGACTGTGATATTAAAGGCATGCCCATTTCCTTGCACTGACATCACAATAAGGAACACTCCTGGTTATGCAGGATATTGTCACCAGGTCCTAATTGTTGGCAATAATTTTGGACAGGTAACTTATTTAGGCATGCAAGTGAATCAGTAAATGCAGGTCTTATAATCCTTCACATTGCTACAAAAAGGGGGAGCTAAGTGCAGTTTCTGCAAAGAAGGGGTGATATGTCATATGAACATTTGAAAGAAGAGATAGGCCGTTGCACCTCATAGCCCAATTAAGCTAATCAGCCGTCTCCAAAAGAGTTTATTTCTTGTGTATCCTGAAGAATTATTGTGAGAACCATTAAATTATAGTACTGAGGACTTGGGAAGAACTCAAAGCTCAAACATTAATTTCATATTATGGGTGAGGAGCCATTTAATGTGGGGTGGAAGATGGCAGGAATTTGATGCTTTGGCCATAAGATTACACATTTTTTAAACCTGACTTTCATATCGTGGCATAAATTACTCAAGGCAGGAAATGATGAGATGGAAGTGCTATCAGGAATTCACCCATATGTTTGCAAAAGTATAACTCAGGAAGAGAAACCTTATCTGGTGTGAGATAAGAGACAGAAAGTTCCGGTTCTGAATTCACTGCCACTTCCCCCATATATACCTACACTGTCTCTAGTGGACAAAAGGAAAATGGATTCTGCTTGGAATCGTCCATCAATATCCGTTGAGGATTACCATTCAAAGCCCAGAGAAAATCGAAAGAAGGCATCTACTGTGAAATTCTGGGTCAAAGCTTTTATTGATGCCTTCCTCATCATCCTCATTGCAGTATTTGCATGCCTCCTTCGGTGAGTCGAGCATCTGCCTTTCACCTACTCCCCACTTTCTATATTCATTCAGCTCCATGAAGGAAAATTTCTGCATTTCAAGTCCCTATGGAAGAAGCATATTCTATTTAAGCTACCTTAGATTAAATTACATGATAATGACAGAACATTCCTTCTGACCCGCATCAGTACCACTGACATGGTCTGACTAAATAAAATATCCATCGGCCATGTAAGTACTCAAATGCAAAACTTCATTTGATATCCATGATAAACCACATATTGCCAAGGGCGTAGGAATCGGGGAGGGGGGGCCAGGGGTGACAAATGCCCCCTCACTTTTACAGAAGGGGGGGCTAAAGATATATTTTGCCCCCCCACTTTTTAAACCTAAGAGTAATGAATACACTGTCAAGTTGCGACGTAAGATCATTCGCGGCATTAAGTGGGGTTTGAAAAGTAAATTTAGCTTGAAGTAAGGTTAATGCCTGAGGGGGATTGGCGTGGTAGAGCACACTTGATGGGCGCCTAGGGGGAGTTCTTTTTTGTCTCAGGTCCAAGATCTCCCATCCGATTAGACTTCTTTTTTTCTCTAAATGTCTTTCCCTGAAAAGAAGGGAGGTTCTGGAGTCAGTCCCCTTCAGTCATAAGTCTGGCTTGAAAAATTTTAATGGAATAGTGAAGATAGATTCAGTGCCATGTTATGGAAGAGAAGTGCTCAAACTGGAACGCTTTTTTATTTCCAAAGTCCAAAAACCAAACCAAAGACAGCAAAACATGAAGAAAATTCAGGAATGGAAAATGTCAGCGGTGTTGTATTATCGGTTATCCCTACGGACAAGGTTGCACGGGAGCCTGTGCTTGTTAGTGAAATTTCATTTTCAGCTGCAAGAATATAATACCCCTAGAAAAAGCAAAGTACTTTGATATTTGGGCATAGATTTCATACATGCCCGCAAAAGGCGCGGTTTGGTGCTACGTATGTTGTGTATGCATCAGCAGAGAGTGTTTTTCGGCATTGAGGTGGCTGAAGAAGTGGATGCAGGCAACGATGACAACAACGCCTGACAAACATCGCATTGATGCATGCACATCAATATATTTTAGACTCTTTGGAATTAGATAAATTGAAGTATTTCGCAAGGAAAACCGAGGAAAGGAGAATATTTGAATTTTAGTTCCACACGAATTTGATATCCTGATCGTGTTTGAATTAAACAGTAATTTTTCGAATTTCAGAACTGATCTATCTCATTCTCTCCCCCCACTTTCGAGGACGTTCCTTCGCTTATGAATATTGCAGTGCAAAATGTTGAGCTTAAATGTATTAAATACATTGGTCGGGACCCTCTTAGTCCAGAGTGCACAAAAAATAAAAACTTTGGGGCACGTTAAAAGTGTTGGATGTAAATCATGCGTTACGCTCAATTGTATTAATACTTCATGCGAGACAACAGTAACGTTATATTTCGCACCTACACTAGTGAACTAATGACTGGCATTGTAGCTGGTGACCTTTAACTTGACTTAAACCCAAACAAGTCTTCTACTTGGAAAGTGTGTGCTTTTGCTCACACCCTAACTATAGCCGACGTCCTCCTGTCCTCCGTCTGACCACCGGAGGCCTGCACGGGTCGACTTTTCCGAAATCGATCCGATCGGCCCTCTTTCAGTCGTGGCCCTCTCCTGACCCGAAACTTGATCGTCGGACCGAACTTTACGAACCAGGGCCGATCGGGCCGGCCTGCAGCCTGCTTGGGGCTCTAGTGGGCAGGACTTGTGACTCACCCTTTCACTTGTGACTCACCTCTTATATGCAATTTCATAAAATGTATGGCATATTGAAGGTAACCCGATGTTTCTTCACCGAGACTTATATGCATCCTCGTGCATATATTTACGCTCAATTGCATGGGAGTCTTCTGCCATCTCGCGAAGAGCTTTAATACTAACCTGATTTCGAAGAAAGGACGGTTGTGATGAGGGGTATTCGGTTTCAAGTTACGAGAGGAATGACGCGAAAATGCGATAACCGTACGTTATGACGCAGAAGCCCAAAGAAATCAACGAATGATTCATGCTCGCATTGGGTCACAAAGGGACTTTGGATGGAATTGTGAGATGAAGGGTGCAGTCACTGAAACCATCTGTCTCATATGTAATGCGTTGTTTCTAAGATGTTAAATCCAGATATTAGAGAAAGGGGTGGATAAAATGAGACCCGTTATCCATAAAAGTATCCCCTTTTGTTCATTTACTGGGTGGTGCATAAAAAGGCGCCGAAATTTTAGCACTTATTTCTCAAGTTCCAGATGAGACAGAGGCCTACAAATCATACCATGTATACATCTATTTTTCCTCTCGGGCGCATGAAAACGAAACATTTCTTACTGCCAGTGTGTATATATACGCGTACAGTGCCCTAAACAAGTGGCGCAATGTTTTGAGCATTGGGACGCTTTTGACTTAAACATCAGCTAGAACAGGGGTCTCAAACTTGCGGCGGCATATAGGGCATTTCCATGCGAATGCGGCCCGCGGGCCGGGAGTGTGAGACCCCTGAGCTAGAGGCAAACAATCAGGAAAGTTATTGCGTCATTTGATAGCCCTGGTCTTCAGCTATGCAGAGATGGTAGTCTCGGGTCGCTAGCTCTTCCCAACAATGAAATATTGACTTTCGAAGTCGGGCAATGCATTGCGCCAGTTTTTTTTGCTCATGCGAGGGCTAACAAAAAGGCCTTCTTAGCTATCATTCATTTTCTTAAACTTCTCTTTATTTTTGCAATAGTTTGGGCTCACACTGACCGTTGGTTTATCTCGATCGGCTTAAATCTCCTATCTACTACTTCGGGTGTCCGGAAAGTAATGAGAATCGCTTGCAAATTTGTAATTCTACAAGCAGTGCACTTCCCACTGCTCAGACATTTAGATCAATATGTAATCTCTGTGATTGCCGATTATTAAGTCGATCCGATCAGAAGTGCTTACAGAGCAGACCTCAAAAGACAGCTCTATAAGCTCAGTGCAAGGCTCTTTTTAACAATTTGGATATGGCAACTCTTGTTGCCATATCCAAATTGAGTTCGCTTCTACGCGTTCAAGCGGTTCAAACGTGGCATCGCGGTGGCTGCTTTCTTTCATTCTTACTTTCATTGTATAATACATTTTAAGCATCTCATTTCCATTCTCATACCTACGAATGTGAAAAAATTATTTGGGTCACAAGTATTTTTCATTGTGGCTTTAAGTTACCTAGGCACTTCTGGTCGTATGAAGTCATTGGCAGCATGATGTTAACAACATGAAGCAAGAGGAGATTCTTCTTTTCCCCTGAAATGTCGCCTTGGAGTGTATCCTTCACACAGTGCCTTCTATAGCAAGACTGTAAGAATCAGCTTTCTCTGAGCGAAATTGTGCAAGGTTGCCCATTCTCCCACCCCTCAAAGGGACCTCCAGAATGGCAGTACTCCAATCTTATGATTTTCTCTGAACCCTATTTTTAGAAAAAAAAGTAACAAATTGGAGATGTACACTGCAGGCTTTACTGCAGCGAAAAAACACCTTGCAAATCTATTTGAAAAATACTCCCAGTTTCAGTTTTTCACAGCTGCCTGATACACAGAAACGAAAAATTTATCAGAAACGTCCTCACATAAAAATTTGTGCCGCAAGGGACCCAGCAAACAAGGTAACGTTGGATCAACGTTATATCGACGTTCCGAACGTTCATTCAATGTTGATTCAACATTATGTGTTTCAAATTGTTTGCTGGGGAATGACCCTAAAAGTCAGTCTTTCTTGGAACTCACATTTTGTGGAACAGCGTGCTTACAAAACTTCAGCTTTCTTTATGCTCCCGTTTAAATTGGACAAGAAATTGTCATAGGAAACCTCTCCCCAAAAATAATTGCCCAGAGGGAATGTATCCCAAAAGTATGATTTTCTTCATAATCTATATCTCAACAAGTTCCTCTATTCCAAGTTTCAGCTTTCTATTTCACTCCGTTTAATTGAAGCAAAAAAAATGTATTCAAATAAACGTGTCCTCCAACAAAATATGCTCGGAAGGCAAGTACGAGGGGTTACACGTTTCCGCGCGGACTTGCAATGATCTGAACACCAGGGATTTTTTTCAACATTTTTCTCATGTTCAGCGGTTCCCAGAGGCTAGGCAGACACCTTCTCAATGTAATCGCCGCCAATTTGCACACACTTCTCAGCCCTTTTGATCCATGTATCGAAACAGGCCTTGAA